CCCCTTTTTTAATGATACGCCGCCCCCCGAGCTCTACCCCCTCTCCTACCCCCTTTCCCTCCCCGCCGCTCTGCCGATCTACCCCCACGCCCTCTGGGCCATGTCACCCTCCTCCCAGCTCCCCCCCCACTGTGTCTCCCACCCCCCACCCCTCTGGGCCATGTCACCCTCCTCCCAGCTCCCCCCTCACTGTAGCTCCTACCCCCCCCCGCCCAGGCTCTGCTCCTCCTGGACCTTCTCAGGACTGTGGGCTCCTGGTCCTGGCTTGAGGGTCTTGTCCCCTGGGGGCTCCACCCGGGCTGCCATGGTGTACTGTGGAGCCTTGAACTTTGTCACCTGCACATCAGTCTGGCGATAGGCTGCAGGGCCTGGGGTCTAGGAGGTGAAAGAGGCTCAGACAGGCTTGGCCTGCCAGGGCATGTGACCCCAAAGGGTAGGTGGCCAGCATTGGACAGTGGGTTTTGAGGCTTGACACTGTGTGTCTGTGTGTCAGGGGTCCCTTCTGTCTGCAGACAACAGTCACAGTGTAGGATGACCTCCTCTGTGGAACGTTGCCCCTCTACTGAAGCCTCGCCATGGCAATGACACCTCAGTGTGCATCAGTCCCAGGCTTGTCCCTTTGGTGTGTGCAAGAGAGGCCCCTTTGCAGCTGGGATTCTGTCCTGTGGGATTCGATGGCCGTGGGCTGGGCTGGTGGGGTCCGCAGTGCTGTGAGACCACTTTGGAAGTCTCCTCAGCCTCCTCAACCTCCTGGGTACATGTCCACCTCAGGGCCTGTACTGGGTGTTTCTGCAGCTGGAATCCTCCTCCCCCAAATATCTCACACCTTACTTCTTCTTCTCACCTTTCTGCATGCCACCTTATCGAAGCCCCCCCCCGCAGCACTCCATAAACCCTTCCTTGCTCAGCAGTGGTGCTGTCTCTATCTTTGTCCCTTGTCTGCCCCTCCTCAACACAGGAACGTAACCTGGGGTGCAGGGAGCAGGGGGGTGCCATGCATGTGGCCGGCACCCAGAGGGTGAAGAGCTTGCAGGTTTCAGTCTGGTGGGACCAGGTTCTGGGAAGGAAGGGGCCAGATGGGTCATCTCTGGGGGATGAACAGTGCTGTGCCCTGGCAGGGGGACCCTTGCCTTGTGCAGGTCGTCACTGAAGCTGCCCAGCTTGCTGCGGCCTTTGATGGAGAAGGAGGGTTGGGACACCTTGCCAACGGTGTGGGGCCCCATGACCACAGGCAGCATGTAGGCGGCAGGGCCTGTGGGGTGCACAGGCAGTGAGTCTCAGGCTGGATAGAACCATGCATCCAGAGTCTTTGATGGCTCCTTTCCTGGGGTTTTCCACTTCCAGGAGTGCAGCCATCCGGTCACCCTGTCTCACCTCCCCTCCCCGCCCCAGGGTCCCCACCCCAGTTGGATGTTGGCTGTCAGGGCTGCTGCGCACCTGGGGTGCTGTCCACTCGGAAGGTCTTGGTCCGGGCAGAAATGGAGTGGCTGGGCGCTGAGTCAAACACGTGTTTCGTAGATTTCTCTGGAAAGTAGTCACCTGGCTCGGGAAAGGAGTGGAGGGTGTGCTGAGAGTGGAAGGACCATGTAGACAGGCTACTGGCCCTGCTCAGGGGCTCAAGGAAAACCCCAAACATTGCAGGCTCAGGGCTTCCAGGCTCCAAGACAGAGGGTGCCCGATATTGGTCAGGGTGTCCAGGGGCTGCGGGAGTGGAGATAGGTGCAGCTTTGAAGGGGGAAGGGCAGAGTCTGATGTGGGCCTGGTGTGGGGACTTAGGCCAAGAAAAGCACAGGCCAGAGCTGGGCTGGAGGGTCTCCGAGGCTGCTTTGGGCCTGATGGTGTCACTCGAGAGGAAAACAAGGGGATGGGAGAGCCAGGATGCCTATGCTCCCTCACACCTTCACCTGGGAAGGACACGCAGTGGCCACCAGGAGGGTTGGGCAGGGCTGCGGCTGGGCCAGGCTCACTTACCGGGGCCAGGGGTCATGATGGTCTTGGTGCAATAGCGCCCCAGGATGGAGTAGGCAGGGCCAAGGTCCTTGCCAGTCCTCAGTATCTTGGGATTCACACTGTAGCGGGGCCCTGGGGAGCAGTTCTCTGCCAGGAGCATGGGGGCCCCACGGAAACTGTAGGCTGGTGCACGCAGCTTGGTGGGTGTGTGCTTCACAAAGCCTGTGGGGCAGGGGTTCTGAGCAGCCTGGAGCCGGATGCCATCCTTCTCCCCACCGTATTGACTCCGGAGGGGTTGATGAGCTGGGAGTCAGGGATGAGCCTCCAGCCTTCCCAGTGCCCCCCCTGTTCCGAACCTGCCCAGGCCCACATGCCCTCCTCAGTCCCTCGTCAGACCTCCCTGACATCCCCCCAGAACC